TAACACTTCGTCGAATCACACTTTTAAATTGTGGTTGTATCATACTATTTCATTAAGTTTCGTCGATCGTGCGGAACACAGCAATTCATGCCCAAGACAGGTACGGATTTTTAAAAAAATGTTCACTTCCCTGTTGAATTTATGTGGCGTTATCATTGTTTCGAATAAAAGAGCACGCGCGTTAAGACACGGCTGTCGCACGCCGTACTGACTTATAAGATTATTAGGACCTTTATATAGTCACAGAAAAAAAAAAACTTAAGTCTGAAGTAAGTCTGATTTAAACATCTTAAGGCAAAAGCGTAGATTCGTATACATATATTTTTAAGGCATGACTGGTGGTGCGTGATGCGTGTTATAGGAATTATATTTCCATTACTTTTGTGAATGTTTTTTCTGTTTGATTCTTATATCCAAGAAGGTACACGTATGATTGACGGTGATTTCTGGACAGATGTTTTGAACGATTTACGAGTATTTGGCCAAAAATGTACGCTCTTTCAGTAATAAGGTTTTAAATGCGACAAGAAATACAAGAGCATTAGTATCCATCGACGAATTTAATTTCATTTGTACGGAGGTAAAGTTTTAGATACTGCCTCAGTGATAAGATAAATATTTATCGTCATTTTTTGTTTCGATTTTTATACAATTTTCTTAAAAACTTTTGTAAACAAAATAATTAATAGTTTGAAATATAGTTCACAAACATAGTGATATTGAGGTAGTTAAGTCAAAAGCTCGTTCTCTGAATAGAGTTTTTCTGAGCATAAGTAAACATATCCTAGCAACAGACCAGTCAAGTTAGAACTGGGAATTAATTACCAAACTCAACGATTTATTATTGTCGTTATATCATGACTGGTTTATTATATTCACATAGTAAGTACCTACTATTGTTGATAAATTTGAGACGAGTTTTTCTGGCGCCCACGTAATATCTGCCACTGATGAGCAACATCATTTTTTTTGTACGCGATTTCTATCCATTTGTTAATTCTTAAAAAAATTATACCACTTTCGCTTGAAATATTGAACTCAGATTTTGCAATGAATTCACCAAAAATAAAAATGATCAAATGTGGAAATGATTACTTATAGTTTTACAAAACAACTCACCTGTAAATGTTTTCATGGCGATACTGTATACAATATTATAAGAGTGTATAAGTATTATTGATATACATCACTTACTAATATTGTTCAATTATTTCAATTTAATATTCAAAGTCAGATCTAATGTAATTTTTTGTTATCCGACCAACTCAACGTTTGGGTTCTTTTGATGATATAAACCAATGATATACATGAATGATGACATCATACAGTGATACGAATATTATCAAATATTGGTAACAAGCAAGTTACAACTCACATTCGTTCAACTCTTACCGAGAACATTGGTAAATAGGCTGAGTGATCGTATTATAGAAGTAATAATTGGAAAATATTTAAACATTGGACTTGTTTGAAAACGTAATGAATAGCCCAGATTTTTAATACACTATAACAGTATTATAAATGAAAATACCTGATTTGCCATTGATATTTCATTGATGTTTAAATAGAAAATCGCTCAACTGTGTTATAGATTGATAAAGTTAGCGTTGTGAATTTCCGTAGTATTATACCTTTTAGGTACTGGGAAAAACACAAATAATCTACCATTTAGAAGCAGCAATACATTATAGTTGACCTATTTTCATGCAATTTATTACTATTAAACACTTAATTAATTTTACATATCGAAGATACTTTAATATGTGTTACGCAACAAGGCGTAAGTATCATATGTGGGTATATAAATAAATAAAAAACTCTAGCGTTAATAGTATTATAAATAATACATTGCTCTAATCAATTTGTACAAAGAAATAATTATTATTTTACGGGATTAAATTTGATTTACATAAAAAATGAGCAATGCAACGGCTGTTGTAAATACTTTTTATTTTTATTTTTTTTTTCATACGACTCTTATAGTCGTTAATCACTAAATAACAAATGAAAAATTAAAGTTTTTTTTTATCAAACAAGGTTTTAATTTAAATCACTCACATGTCTATAGATACCTAAAAATTTATAGAATGATGTGCATGGCCATTATTATATTTTTTGTTAACGAGCACCCGTCTTTTATATTTAATTTATATTTGTTTCTATGTAACTTTTTTTTTTTTACATTTTAGATTCTGATCGAAGCGAGGAATGTATTGATTTTACATGATGTGCGTTTTCTTTTTTGTGTGTGTGGGTCTGTATCACGTTTTTGAGAGCAGTAAGAGTGCTTCGATTTAAGTTTAACTATTTATAGGCATATGCAATTTTCGATCATTATTATTTTTTTTTAAATTAACTGTCAATAAAAATTGATTTGTTGGGAAAAAAAACTTGAAAATTCATTACAAGGCTCCTAACATATTATTGTTACAATAGCAGTTGAAAAATAAAAGAAATTCAGTMACAATTTTTTTTTATAAGCATTCAAAGTTTGAATTTTGACAACATACGTAAAAATCACAGAAATTTTAAAATTATTTCAAGCAAGAAATTCATAAAATTGTTCAAACAATCTTAGATAAAAATCCACAAAAATTTTCTTTTTAAATCTAAGATTTGAAAATTTTTTATAATCTATAATATATCCTAAACAAATAAACCGTCTCCGCTCACAATTATTTTTCGTATTCAATGATATAATATCATTGGGTTCAAATTTAATTCCATTCATTACAGTAACCCACTTTTAACCTACTGTACAGCACAGCGATATCCACTTTCCTGAATTTTTATTTATATGTTTGATATGTTTAAATACAAAAGTTTTCAGTACTTTAAGTAGAAACCGGTTCTGTAACAAAATAAACAAAACAAACCAATGAATTCAATTTAGATAACTCTGAGGAATGCAATAAAATTTGATTATTGTTCAGTCACGAGGGTAATGTACCTCTATTGCCTGTACATATTGCCTGTACATATTGCCTTGTTAAAATTATTGTTTGGAACAACCAGAGAATCGTTATGTTTCATGTTATTTGCTAACAATTACGATTTACAATAGCATACGTCATATTATACTATTGTGCATTACCAAATTTAAAATCTATTGTAATATTTTATTTGTATATTTATTTTGGTTTACAATCGACACAGCTTTAAACACTTATATTACTTTAATCACTACACAACTGGCTTTTTCATCTCACAGATAATTTAAAATAAGAAGAAATTCACAAATCAAATGTAATAATACAAACTACAAACTTAAAAGTTTTTTTTTCTTTTGTAAAACAAAAAAAAAAAGCAAAAAAAAGTGAAATTGGTTTGTTATCTTTTATCCATTTTATCCAAGTACCTTAAAAAAAAGAATACGTACGATTTTGTATGATCTTTATTTACTTAAATCTTCCAATGATTACTTCATATTATTCTATATGATATATTATGATTATTTGTACTCTTAGATCTCCCATTATTTTGTTTGTGTTTAAAATTTATACAAATTAGACTCAATACAACAAACTACAAAAATGTAGGTATAATTTAAATCTACGACAACCAATTAGAAATAGAGTAACCTACTATTTTAAATATGAAATAATTAAACAGTAGGTATTATTATAAAAAATATATCGTTGATTTAAATTTCGATTATGACACTCAACTGAAATCAAAAGTATAATTGGAAAATTTTTTCAAATAATCAAATATTTACAATTCTATTTTATTTGTTTTAATACCTTAATATTCAGTATTGTATAACCGATCTAGGACATTTCRGCGTATGGCCGACGGCCGTAAGGCCATTTTAAGAAATTAGGTAGGTCACTATAAAATATAAATATATAAATAATTTAAAATAAGGAGAATGCTATAGAAATTATATTTATTATATTATTATTTTTGTATACAAACTGTATATAATAATTAGGTATATTTAAGAGAATGCTATAAAAATTATGAATAAAAATATTCAGGTCATCATACTTAAATTATGTGCTATTCCTCTTAAAAAACTCATAATATTACAATTATCATAATCGCTGACTAATTTTAAAATACGTTTATCAACGTCGATGCATTTTATTATTATTATTTTTTTGTGGACTTTTGCCTGTTTCTATCTGCAAAAGAAGGCGTTTCGGCCACTTTGCATTCTCCTTATTAAAAACTTATTAAAATTTTGATTGCTTGTGCCATAGCGACTTCTAACTACTGACTACTTGACTATCGTTATTACTCAATTATCGTCTATCGATACATCGTATAGGTTAACTACCTACTTATATCTTTAAACTTATACCGTAATATAGATTATGATGTGTGACAGTATAATATATATATAATATATTATTATTATTATTATATACGACACCGACGAAAGTGAGTTAAATGCTAACATTATATTATCTAAACGCGATTAAAATAATTTTATGAAAAAAATGACTATACGCCGAAATGTCCGGATCCGTGTATAACAATTTCTAATAATTATATAAGAGTTAGTGATACCTTACTATTTCAATGTTAAAAAAATAAAAAATAAAAACGTAATGATGATTATGATATTTTAATGCATAGTACTAAAACGTATTGAATAACTGTATAACTTCAACAATAATACCTATGTATATTATTGAGTAAATCATATTAATGGTGTGTGATAAACATGAAACAAAAATAAATGTGTTTGGTTTGTATTATGTAGATAGGTACATTTTATAAAATATCATGAACTAGTTTAACTATAGTGAATTTTACGGTGAATAAAAATAATTTTATTTCAAAAAGCACCAAAATTTACGATTCAAAAAAATATCATAATATTAATAATGATTTATTTTTTTGTAAACATATTATTATACTAAACGCAATCAGCCACGATTATCAGCTAACTAGTCTTCGGATTATGGCAATATTATGTTTTAAACTCTGATTAAAAATACTGAAACGCTTGCGTATTATAATGTCCAGTGATTTTTTTTTTTTAATTTTAGGGGTTCACGATGAACTCGTCGTCGGCCGGAAATGACACGGATAAAGATTCCCACAACACTACAACCAGTTCACAAGATTTGTTTAGAGACAGGCATCTCACCGACTACTTGTTGATTGTACTATTCTGCCTTGTCATATTGACGACGGTGGTGAGTGAAACGGATGATAATATTTACACATAACACTATTATTATTATTTTTTTTTTTGTGGCTATTCCATTTACCTACTCTGCTACATAAAAATCAAATACATATTTTAAAACGGTTATTATAACGTTTGAGTGCGAAATAGTAAAATTACTGAAATTTTCTACAAATSTATGTTGCTATCGAAATAACATACTATGTTGTTACATTTAAACTTTAAAAAATAAGTTTAAACTATAAAAACAGAGTGAACTGTTCTATATAAATTTTCAATGTTATACGTACCTGAAATAAACTTAAGTATTTAGTATTTACASGTGTCCTCTTTAACATTTAATTAATCTAATGAGAAAATTTAATAATCATTAACACTTTGACTTTGTTTTAAAATCAAACAATTGTATTTTTGTGACACCATTACAATTGTAAATAACTCTTAGGAAAAAAAGGAATAATTGGCTATATTTTTTTTYCTTCATAGGTACGAGCACTTTATTTATATACATACAAATTCAATGTTTTAGGTACCACTCTAACGAATCAGATCTAAATCAACCTCTATATTTTGCAGGTGATAAATGTTRACTAATTAAAACTAAATCATGATCATTATATATTATTATGTATCCCATGCTACTATGCTAGTATTAATTTTTTTTATTTCAGTGAAATCTTAASTTAGAATGGTTTTTATATTGTCTTATTAGCTCTTTCTGAAGTGTTATTTCTTAAGCTCAACAGTAAAATCTACAACAAAGAATCAACGAATAATATCGATATAAAAAAATATATTAAAATAAAAAAGTTAATCATTTATTTTGTAATTAAGTTTGAAAAACTGTGTAAAATCTTTAATTTCCAATAAATTACGGACRGAAATTTATTTAAAGAATTAATATCAAGCACATTGAAAAAGAGTATTGGTTTAATGAGTGTGTAACTAGACAAGTTAATTAAAGCTTGAAGGAATTCAAATTTAAAAAAAATACGTGATATGTGTTGAAAATTTGTAACCCTTTAGGTACCAGAGAAACTATAAAGTACACACAAATAATATTTTTCATAAATATTGCCTGAAAAACATAAAATAGCTCATCACATATTCACATCGATGGATAAACTCGAACGGTGTACTTTTAAAATGTAATAAGATATTTAGATAACCTGCTCAATATTCCCATTTGACCAAAACTTTTGGGACACAGTATTCATAAAACTATATTATAACTGTACATAGGCTTCTAATACGTAAGGGACATCAATATGATTATTGATTAGTTTATATAACAAAAAATATATATWAGCTAAATCCCTCCTGGAGGCTAGAGAGGGAAGGTTCAGTAATATCTTATTGGTGTATAACCATGTTGGCTAATAGTTAAGTTGAATTTATATGTTRCAAATCTTAATAATCGCTTCTGAACCCCCTCAATAATCTCGATTTTAGGATTAGTATAGGGGCTCCAAATAGGAGATCCATACTCTAGCATGGATTTAACTGAAGCACGATAAAGCAACTTAAGCGAATTATGATGATGTAAAGGATGATAAAAAAAACACGATTGTCACGTGTAAGCCACGAAATCATGTTATTTAACCAAACACTGCATTATGTAAACATTAGACTATACACTGTATTGTCTGTTAAAAAGACATTTTTTACATATTATTTATTAATTAATGCGCATTCACGTATTGTAGCCATTAAATGTCAAATTCTGTCAACATACCGAGTTCTATATTGATATCAATATCATAATAACAGCCGTGGTAATAATAATATTTAAAAAAATGTGATTGATTTTAMAACCCGAGCAAACTATCTATTATCAATTGATCAATATTGCGATCAGCATATCGATGTGTTTATCACACGATTATAAAGAACTTATAAAAGATAATAAGCTCATAATAATCGTGATTTCATCAAACTATACAAAACAAACTTGAATTCAAAAAAAAATATTTCTGAAATTTTTATCGTCAATTGAAACCGTGTAGTCATTCAAAATTATACAATTTATTTTTCGCAATAATTTACATTTACGTAAACGCCATCGGTATCATTGTCATATAACCATAATTATTATTATGTTGTAAATACAACGACAACAAAACCMCCGCAAATAAATTTAAATTTATAAAAGTTACAAAATGTATTATTAATTTCATTTCGAGTTTTGACTAACGAAAACACGTGTGCATTCATATGTACCTAGACTCAGTTTCGTCTAAATACATTACATACAGCTGCGATCAAGTGACAAGCGGCAAATAAAATATGTAAGTTGTAGAATATTATAGTCATRATATAAAATTATAATTTTACCATGTCTGCTTATATAGATTGTAAATAATACATTGTTTTATAAACATAAAAATAAATTRCATTACTATAATATGCGTGAAAACATAATATCGTATAATACTCGTCAGTCACAAACATTTTTTCCCCCATTTATTTATCGGTAATTGAACACAGCGAATTCAATAATATTCTAAATTCCATATTTTTTACTGCAGTTATGATATATAATGTATTCCACGAAGAAAAGTATTCGATTAATATTAAATTTCAGTTGTGCTCTTTAAAATTTGAACGAAAAATGGTCAGATGTTGCTGTAAATATTTTCTTGGGTATATTTTGTATACCTACTAAGCGGCCGGTGAGTTTCAGGGAAATGTGTACAGTTCTATTATAGTTTCCAAGGAGATTTATTCTACTCAAAAATTGTTACCATATTGCCCCGTAATATTACGTAAGCTAAAATAACCCAAAAGAAAATTCAACGTGATGGCCATATTGATCGTCAGAGGATTACATGTGAATTTAATGAGAACTCCTAGAACTCTATTCAATTAGTAACATGTACGTCAACATATCTCGATGAATAAGCTTAGAAGTTGATAATAATATATTTTAATTTTTCAAACATAAAACCTCTCTCATCTCGTTTACCCAACCATCAATAACACGCTATTACCAATTTCAGACTTTTATCCATTGACCTCGGAAAATCCAAGGATAAACGAGATAAAACCTCCAAAGAMTAGATTTTGATTTGACATACATAATACATACCTATCTAATAAATAACAGTAAAAGCTATATATACCTATATAATAAATGATGTTTCTAATTTTAAACAAAATGCTTTGTGTTGTTATTAAAAAGAAGCAATATATTTTTTTACAATATTTAATATTTTTTTTATGCATTATAATAAACTTTTTTTWAAATAATATTTTAAATTGTATGGTACGTATTATATAGTAAAAATATTAGGTGATGGTAACTAGTTTCCAAAGTCCAAACTCTCATGATGAATGGTAAAATAGTCGAAGAAAAATTTCGATATTCTGTTTAACTMTAAAAATATTCGATTCCCTTTTTATCACGATTTTTCATGATTTTCCCAAAGAATTCTGGAAAATGTAAAATTATCTCCACTCGCTCGAATAGTTTCTATATGTGCAATTTTCGACCCATGGTGATACTGAATAAAAAAACTCGTTAGTCTTCTTTTGTATTGCTTTCTACTAAAGTCCAAGTAGGTACGTCACGAAACTTTTGACAAAATCAATAAGCACATATAAATAAATAATTACAAACCATGAACAAGATATTTAAATAGATGTAGAAACAATAAATGTAGTAGATATTATCAAAAATCATGATAATCAACCAACCTAAGTTGTTGAGTTATTATTTAATAATATTTTCTAGGGGAGTTAGGTGCTACGGATTGCTACAATCAGTCGCTCAAATGATTGATAGTACGCCGTTCTTAGGTTAGGTTAGGTATCCAGGTTCCAGGGTTAGGAGTCGAAAACCTTGCCAAACATACGGTTGACGTGTTGTCAACCTACCATTCAAACCGTATTATCCCCAACAGTAACCTCTACAAAAGCCAATGGTCATAGTTGCCAAGATCATGATCAATAAAAAAAATAAAAATAAATTTTCCAAAAAACACAACAAAACTCATAAATAATAAATAATATACATAAATAGACACAACCAATGACATTATATCATTGAAAAGTAAGGAAAATTGTCGATGAACGCGACTAGCATGTATTGCAACGGACACTTTAAATTAATAAAAATAAAGATTGAATATAAATATTAGCTTATTATAATTTATTATAATAATATGTAAAAAAAAACAGTGATTTTGACACAGTATTCACGAGTAAAATTCTAATATACGACAAAAAATTAATAAATGTGAGAAATTTATAAATAATTTATAGATATTTATATATATACATAAATATTATACATGACTTGCACACAAAGTTGTTAAAAAATTGTTCTCAAATAGATAAGTAAATTTACAGTAAACATACGGATTTTCCCAACGCCTAATCATAGTGTTTATCATGTAAAATAAAAAATGTATAACTGATGGGTCATTGGAATTTTACGACCATCTAAATATATGCCAGTACATTAGTTTTGTTCCGACTGCTATATACATTAATTATTAGAGATTAAAAAAACTTTTATTCTGACAGAAAAAAATAATTTTATCAGTAATAATATCGTTGAACCTAACATAAATATGTAACTAATCAGAACTAATGGAAAAATGTAAAATTTAAATTTCTTATAAAACGTTTAATCAAACTGAAATTTAATGTCATCTAAATAACATAATATAATTTCTTCATATTATACAGAATGATTCATTACGAATTCAAGAACATTCTTGCTTACCCTCGTTTTTCATTTAATGTGATGAATTTATTCGAAAACTGATTTTTAAATTTTTTTTAGTCGTTTCTGGTGATATTATAATCTTTTTTTATAAAATAATAACCAATCTTTTGCTGTACCAAAATTGTGATTTACATTTTATGAACCTAAATCAAAATTTAAATATTTAAGACAATAGTTCTTAATATTGCTTTACTAAAATATTAAATAGATATCTACAATATTTGAACAAGTACTCGACTTTATATAGGTACTAGGATTATTTTGTTTTAATTTTG